GGCTAAGTGCATACAGAACAGTTAAATAACTATTTTTCTTGGGTTATGCAAGTACATCAAAGTTTTCTTTTTAAGGTAAGAAACTGAGTACTCTCTTTGAGTAGAGGGTAGTGAAGGTCTTAGTTGTTGGCAGTTGAGGATGGTTAGTGCAACTGAGGTTTCACCTTGATTGTGAGGCAATGAAACAAAGGGCTTACAACATCCACATAGGGCAGAAGTTCACAGGAGTGTCTTCCAGGGTAAAGATTCTCCAACTTGTTAATTTTTCCATAATGCTAGCTTAGCATGCTGCATTCTGAATGCAAGAGGCTGCTGTTAGGCAAACAACAATACTGACCTGAAAGAAAATAGTAAAAAAATAAATGAACAAAAGTTGTGACGCATTGATTTGGATTGATCAAGAAGTAAAACAGCCATAAAGCACTGAAAAAAACCCTCCCAAAAACCCAAAACAACAACAACAAAAAAGCAACAGGTGGGATATTGTAGCTGCTCAACATGAGGTTCAGCTTAAACCGCTTCCATGCGTAGATGTATCCTGGACTAACTGTGACCTCTGGGGAAAAGCATTCTCTTGTCATTACAGACAACTGAAGGAAGAAGTCAATAGGGCTTATTAAGGAAGGAATGGAAAATACAGTCTTTTTATAGACTGTTACCTCATCTGGACTGCTGAGCTTTGTTTTGGTCCTCTCTGAAAAGACATGAGAGAAACTGCAAAACTTCTGAAAGGCAAACTGGTGGGATACAAAGCAGGCACAGAAAAGGGAGAAGCAAGGAGCATGACTCTGGTAGATGTTTTCATAATATCTCCTGTTTTGTTAAATAAAGATAACAGGGAATCTTACAGAAAGTGCTGCTTCTACAGTCCTATTCACCATTCTGGTAATACCAGAAAGCACTAAATTATAAGGAAATAAATGTAACTAATTAAGAAGTATGTCGCTCCAGGTTCTTAAGACACACAAACTTGTTTTTTTCTGCTGTGTTTTTATCTCTGGATGAATAAAAATCCTGAAAGTTAATTGGGATGTAATTGTAGTTGTTTTTGAGTACAGCCTGGAGAGTAATTCTCTCTGGAAAGTCTCTCTTGCGTAGAAAGTGCTTTGTAAGATTTCTGAACTCCAGTTGCAACCAGCAGCTCCCGAGTAGGAGGTACCACACAGCAGGGATGCTGTCGATGGTCTGTTCTGGTGTGCTAGTTGCTTGATTAACCTCATGAAATCCTGCCTTGGGAAACTGAAATTGATTGGAAGATACCAATAATGTGCTACAGGACAGATATATTCTCAAGTGTCTGGCTACTCGGTAACTTCTGTACGAAATAAATTCTTGCCTGATGGTTTTATGATAATGTTAATGGCCACCTTTTTTTTTTTTTTCAAAATCAACTGGGTTTGTGCCTGTGGGGAGAACAGGGCTCGGGCAGTGGAGGCATACCTCTTATAGAGATTACAAAGCATCCTGAAAATCCTGGAAGCTTCTTTGTATTAAATAGCTCCCATTTCAGTGTCCTGTATCCATCCCTCTGAACTGGCTGAGGACTTCTCTAGAATTGCACAGCTCTGTTTATGGGCTGTCTGGGATGATATATGAAATGTCCTTTCATTTTCTCTAAGACTTAAATACTTACATAGCACACTTGGTCTTCCTTTCTAGATTTGTCCATTTCTTGCAAGTTCCAGCATACATTTTGAAGGATGCCTTGGCATTCCTCTTCCCTTTGGCAACACAAATCTCTGGTTTCCAGAGAAACCGCTGAAGTGCTCAGATGCTCTGGAGTTCAAATAGCGTAGTGTGCTGCAGTTAGAGGAAAGACAGCAGCCTTCCAAACATGACACTCTGATCACACTGTGAAGAAAAGGAAAATGCTCAGGGAAAGACAAGCTTCATATAAAATTCCAGTGAGGTGTCATGATTTGCTAAGAGAGGTGCAGTGTGGGGTTATGAGCTAGAGAAACCCTGAAGGTAAAAGTTAAGTCTTCAAAAGACCAGGTGGATTCTAGAGCATGTAAGATGCTTACAAGGAGAATGTCGACAGAAGAATGCTAATGTTATTTTTTTGCCATTTAATTAGGAAGATGAAGTATTCATGAGCTGTAGAGATAAGGGTGGATTTGTGTCTTTGTTGTGAATTGAACGAGTAGATGTGTGTAGATAAGCAGTACAAGTCTAGAGGCCACATCTATAACAACTTCCTCTCTGTTAAGATCAGAGAGTAGTTTGTGTTAGATCACTGTGTGGATTTTCTAGGGACTGAAGCTTGTTCCAAGTGAAGTGAAGAAGCTCTAGGCTTGCTGTCCTGTAGCTGAGCCTAGAATAACTTGTATATACAGAAATAGTCACAAAACACTGCTTCCAGTGTGCCTGGACACTTTCAGTTACCTAGAAAGGTGATGTGGGGCACTAGAAAATGTAGCTGCACTTTCCAAAAGTAGGTAACTTTATTCAGGCTGTTCTTTGCTCTTTAAAAGGGATTTAAGTGGAGAAAGAGCTAAAATACAGTTTTGTCTTCGTTTCCAATCTCCATGGATCTTGCTCAGTGAGACATAACCTTCTGCATGGAGATCTTTTTCCAGTGATAAGGAGTCACATTAGTATCTTCTTCCCAGTGCCATCCCATTGACATCCCAAACTAAGGTCAGTTCTTCAGTCACTGAAATGAAAGCTACCTGGAATATAATTGTGTTTAAAAGTGAAAGACAAATGAAGATACGCTCCAGACTGTAGACTTCTGGATCTGCTCTGGAATAGCAGAGTCTAAAGTGAAATTCTGATGGGCTGAGCTTATCTTTCTTCAAAACCAATTTATTGTACCCTTTTTTTCTGCAGCATTACTTTGAAAATGTGAGCTAGTGATTACTTATCTCGATAATGCATTGGTAATGACCAGCTAAGCAGCAAGATATATTAAAAAAAAATAATAAAAAAAAATCTTCTTACAGCTATAAAAGAAATACCAAACAATTGTACCTTTGCATTCACAAATAGCTGCTATTAGTTGCTTAGCTACCAGTGACCATTATTAAATTTCCATTTAGAAAAAGTGGTGAACTTAAAATCATGAGGGGGTTCTATCACAGGTAAACAATTTGAAGTATTTTAAATGCAGAATTTCAATAATAGGATAATTATTTTTTCAGAGTTTTTGTTTAAAAAAAAACCCAACACAACAGCAACAAACAAAAACAAGACGACCCACCTCACCACCACCACCCTCCAAAAAAACACCCCCAAACTAAAAAAAACCCACAGAACAGCAAGAACTATTTTGCTATAGGATGATTTATGCTTCTGTACGTAGGAAGGCAAAGTTAGGGATGATGGTGTGGCTGCTGTAGTTCATTGACCCCTGTAAAATAAATATGTAGAACCCCTTTATTTCTAGACAAAAGAACATCATTAAAGAGGAGTTGTACTGACATACACTTTCGAGTTTATCTCAAATATTAGTCATTGCAAGGAGGGTGTAGATGCCCAAACTTAATATTTGAAAGCCAAGAAACAGGGTGAAATCACAGCTAAACTAACAGCCTTTTTGCACTTGGAATTTAAAACATTTCTTTTAGTTTATCTGTATTTAAATAGAGAGCCCATGAAATGGGCCTGGGTAGAGAACAGAATCTCTCAAGTATTCCCAGAGAAGGGTTAGAATTGTGGCATAGTTAGAAGGGAGACACATGGTAATTCTCACCTTTCATGTTATTTTCATGGTCAGATTTCCCATTTTATCAATTATAAATATAAATCATCCATTCATTTTTATTTTTTTTTTCCAGATGTTAAACCATCTAACATTTTGGTAAACTCTAGAGGTGAAATCAAGCTTTGTGATTTTGGTGTCAGTGGACAACTGATAGATTCTATGGCAAACTCGTTTGTTGGCACGCGCTCCTACATGTCTGTAAGTACAGATTTTATAGCTTTGAGTTTACTGCACGTTATAGTGGAGTTATCACAATTCCAGTGATCCAACAAGAAACCAACTATTGCTGTTACTACTGCTGTTCATAGTTCAGTGCTTCCTGCATTCCAAGAATATTCCAGTATCACATCAGATTGTGCGTGGGGAGGGAAAGAACTGTTGCAAGAAAATACAACAAACAAGAAAATTGCACCTGGAGTATTTTATAGCACTACAAAAGAGATGCAATTGCATCTACATTGCAGAATCCAATTGGTGAATGCATTTGGGTTTTGTATACGTGTGTCTCCAAAAAAGCCCAGTATTTATAGTTTGTTTTCCTCAAGCGTGGTTCTCTTTCCACTCCAGCATTTTGCTGTGGTCACATATGTAGGCGAGCTGCCACAAGCTGCTAGTGATCCTGCTCTCAGGAACCCAACACAGCTGCAGCAACAGGAGAAAGTGTGGGAATGGCTAGTGTGGACAAGGCTGTGGCAACTAATCTGAGACTTATTTACAGGCTGTTCTTTGTTCCTGTGTATAAGGACTGCCTTGAAACTTGCTCTTCAGATGAACTTTGTGTTATGTGAAAGTCACAGTTAATGGAAATAACTTGTTTATTAGAACAGGTCTCTTGTTCTAATGTGCACACCTTATTCAGCGTGCAGCCAATTAACTCATACAATCAGAGTGTTCAGGGATCCTGCTGTAGGATTGAAACTGTGTGGGCTTAAACTTAAAGCAAAAAGTATAATAATGCTGCTTCTGCTCAGCATGGGACCTGCATTTCAACATCAAAGACAGTATTCTCTTTTTTGTTATTTAATATTGGTAACATACTTGAAATAAAACTGTGGCTTATGTTCCCACATACATCTAGGAGCTGTTGCTAATTAGTAAAAAAAAAAAAAATCACAGCTCCATCTCTTCTGGGCCCTTGACATACTACTGGCTTTCCCTTTTTCTTCTAGTAGGAGTGAGAGCAAAGTGTTTTGCCTTCAGTTTTCTTCAATTTATTGTTTTTACAGACTGAGATTTAGCTTTGCTCTCTGGCATCCTATGTCACAGAGAGTGTTTGAAGTACTTTTTCTTGCAGTGTTTCCCTTAACATACTAGCTTTGCTCTCTGGCATCCTATGTCACAGAGTGTTTGAAGTACTTTTTCTTGTAGTATTTCCCTTAACATACTTTTTTCAAATAAAAGCTATAGAATTGTTAGATGCCAGACAACATCCTGTTCTGCCATTTGAAGATGTGTACAATCAACAATGTTTAACTTGAACATATTTGCTAGATTTTAATTATTTTTGTGTAACTAGTACTGTGTGTGTTTCCTGCTTTTTCTCATCTACTCACTTCTTTTACACTTACATTGTATTAAAATCTTTTGCTTATCTTTGGTTTTGGACATCTTTATCTGTTGTCCAGCAATGGTGTAGTTTATCCAGATGACTTTGGAACTAGCTGAGGTGGGACACTGGAGAAAACTCAAACAGAATCTCGGTAAATGTTACAAAACTAATTTAACAAAACTATCACCCATTACGGCAGAGGGAAGAGACTTTACAGTAATACTGCATTCCTACATTCTGTGAGAATACATTTCAAATTCTGTATATATTTTTCCAAAGTATGCATATAGTCAGGCAAGAATCTGTGCTGTTTTGGTAAAATGAGCTTGATTTTTAAAAAGAGAATAGAAAAGCAAAGTGAACTTTTTCTGTGAGAAGTCTTGGTAAAAATAGATCCAATGATGATGTAGATTTGATGTATGAAAAAGTGCAGAAAACATATTCAGCATTCAACTTGGTACTGATAAAAAGCAAGTGCAAAAACTAAGCAAAAGGAGTTAGTTAAGAACTAATCTTAGATTTTAGTTCTTTAGGCAGAAACAGAAGAT